ATATACAGAATATAATTATATTATTCACAAATAATTGTAGATAGGTATAGGAGTACATCTGATCTGTCTTCAGTAAAATGAAAGGTGATTGGTTGTGTATTATTACACTTTGCATATTATCATTGCTTACAAATTGTTATTTGTGAAATTGTGTTAATTGTGAATAGGCATACTGGACCCCTCTCTTTAGTTTGGCTACAACACTATCAGTTGGAATCTTGTTCCCTTATCTTATCAAGGGACATCTAAGCCCTAATATTAAGAGCTGACAATTATGCTGTGGGAAATCCATTTGTCCACTATAACTGCATACTGTAAAAAATGTTCCATTCTCTCATGTGAGGTTGGCAGTGATTCAGGAACAGGGGGAAGTGAATGGGCTGCAATGGACTTCCATTATTATATGCCAGAAATCTGTTACACACCAATAGCTGCAAATAATCCATATGAGGTGCAAATGGCTCTCTGTCTTTCTGGCAGAGCCTCAGTGCTAGCAACTGCTAAATAATACCACAAAGTGTGGTGCTGCTTTATTTTTTAACTAGATAACACAATATGTAGGCACGTAGTTACGTAGATAATTTCGTTGAAAAGTTCCCCTAAGGTAGTAAGGGTGACTCTGATGTAAGGTGGGCGGCACAGATGTAAGGGTGAAGACAGTGTTGTGAGGGGGAATGCTGGGAACTCTGGTGTAAGGGGGGGACTCTGGGAAACCTGTTGTAAAGGGGGGACTCTGGGAAATGTGATGTAAGGTTGAACTCTGATATGAACAGAGGGCTCATCCCAACTGCTGCATTCTATTTGTTGTTTTGTGTGTTACGTACTTCTGACCACTGCACTCTGTAGATTATGTTGTACATTACATAGTCTCAAGAGTTGCTGGTTCTAATGAAGTTCTTCTTTAATCACTAGCCTACAGGGCACTTTCACTCCCTTCCTGTCCAGGCCAATTTTCAGCTTTCACTGCAGTCACACTTTGAATGACAATTGCGTGGTCATACAACACTGTACCCAAACAAAATTTGTATCATTTTTTTGAGACAGAGCTTTCTTTTGGTGATATTTAACCTCTTCCCATCCGGCCCATGCCAATAAAAGGCTGGACAGGAGCATTGCCGATGCGGGGGGGGGGCGTTTCTAAACATCCCCTTGCATCCATTGTCTGCGGGCTACCTGGGAGCATGCAGCACCGTGACCTGTGCCTGCTGTGTCCACCAGACACAGAGGAACACAGATCACTGTACGGGACCGCTGTGTGTGTTCCCTATTCATGTGATCACTGATTGGCCAATCAGTGATCACATGAACAGTAGGAAATAAGATGTCACTTTCTGACATCATTGTTTACTACTTGTGAATGATCACAGAAGTCACATGGTACAAGACCATTCACAACAGCCTTATGCCATGTGACAAGCTGTGAGCAATCACAGCTCTCACAGTATTTCTCAATCCTTTCTCAGGATTGCAGCCAGAGAGAAGGAGAACTGATTGCTTTTATAGCCTTTATGGGTGTGAAAGCAATCAGTGTAAAGAAAAATAAATCTTCATCACCCCCCACAAGTAGTACAGTGTCACTATGGTGACACTGTACTGCAAGGGTGACAGTATGTAAAAAAATAAATAAATATATAAATAATAATAAATTAAAAAAAAGTTAAAAAATATATATTTTTTTTTTTTTACAAACTGATTTGGGCTATTTTTTTGTTAAAACCAAAAAGATAGCTGAATACATTTTGGCAAAGATTTATGAAGAACGATTATTTATTTGCCAATTGTTATAATAAAAACACTTTTTTTTGGTCTTTTTCATTTATGTAGCAAAAAAAATAAAATCCCAGTGGTAAATAAATACCACCAAAAGAAAGTTTTATCTGTTTCAAAACAATGCTAAAAATTTCATTTGGGTACAGTGTTGCATGACCGCGCAATTGTCATTCAAAGTGTGATAGTGTTGAAAGCTGAAAATTGGCCTGGACTGGAAGGAGGTGAAAGTGTCTGGACTTGAAGTGGTCAACCTCTTCCCCTCTGCTCATTGTACATAGACGGTGGATGGGAAGCTTTGTTGATGCGGGCTAATGTACCTGTACACCATCCCGCATCGATGGCTCCTGCGTGCACCCCAAAGCCCGACAGTGGATCACATTACTGCTGTGTCCGGCCGATCACATGGTATTTTACCATCTGATTGCTGTGACCAATCACAACACTCACATAGTAAAGAATGGAAAGTGAAAGTAAAGATCGCTTCTCTCTACTCTCAGTGTGAGAGAAGCATGGAGCATGGAGAAGCGATCCTGCAGTGTGTGAGTTTACAGCAGCCTGTCAAGCTGCTTGTACACTCACAGACTGCTGTTCCAGCCACTCCAGTGTCCCTGATCAGTGCCCCAGTACAATAAAACATGCAGCCAACCCCTGTCACCTGTCCCAGTGTGCACAAAAACACCATACTAATGTCTTGATCACCGCCATACCCCAAACCAACACCCTGATCACTGCTATATGCCATACCAGCACCCTGATCACCTCCATACACCATACCAGCGCCCTGATCACCACCATACCCCATACTAGCACCCTGATCACTGCCATGCCCCATACTAGCATCCTGAGCATCTCCATACCCCATACCAGCATCCTGATTACCCCCATACCAATGTCCTGGCTACTGCCATACCAGCGTCCTGATCACCGTCATACCTCATACTAAGGTCCTGATCACCGCTATACCCCATACCAGCGTCTGGTATTTTAGGGTCTCAACTGATCAATTTCAAATATATATCCGATTGTTTGTAAACTATAGCTTTCACACAGACTAAATAATATACACTGTTTTGGGTTATTTTTACCCCAAAAAATGTAGCAGAATACATTTTGGCCTAAATTTACTGAAGAAAAGTTATTTGCAAAATGTGTTTACAAAAACTAAGCAAAAAATGTATTTTTAAAACTTTTCGGTATTTATTAATTTATCTAGCAAAAAATGGAAAACCTAGTGTTGATCAAATACCACCAAAGGAAAGCTGTATCTGTCTCAAAAAAGGATGAAATCTTCATATGGGTACAGTGTTGCATGACTGAGTAATTGTCACTCAAAGTGTGATAGTGCTGAAAGCTGAAAATTGGCTTGGACTGGAAGGGGGTGAAAGTGTCCAGACTTGCATTGGTTAAAAGATAGGTAGGGGTTTCTTTTTTTTCCCCAGTTATACTTACTTAGGTGGATACATCATCAATCCGATGCTGAAATCTGTCCCCTGCTGGCTCTAAGTGTGAGAACTGAGTTCTCACAGCCGCTCTGAGCAGAGAACAGTGACTGTCACTGCTGTCTGCTGCCCCCCACGCTCACTGGAGCGCTGGGCTGTAGACATGGAAGGAACAGCCGGCTCAGGCTCTTGGCGGATCGCTGAGAGGCTAAGCCAGGTGGCGCTCCAGACTTGGCTGGATCGCGACTTTAAAGCTGGGATCTTTCCACAGTCTGGACCGGCTGAGTGATGTAGGCCAACAGCAGACTTTAGCCCGCTATCACCTAAAAATAGGTTACAGGAATGCTGAACAGACTGCACTTCTGTGATCCACAGGAGAAGTACAGCCAAACAAGCTTTATCTAACAAATAAGAAGCAGTTTTGCATTCTCCAAGACTGAGCACATTTCCGCTCTCTGCAATTGGTTGTATAATATATCAGGTCATAATTGATGGAAGACATTCCTCTGTTATGGATACAGGTCTGAACAGGGAAGAGATCAATGTTATTGACTCTGGGTCCAGCATTTATTAAGATTTAAATGAAGGTATATCTCCACCAACCTAACATACAATTATTTTATTGACCACTGTCAGCTGTAAACAGGTCATAGGAGTGCAAAATGAACTGCACTCCTGTAATCCATAGAAGTACAGCCAAAAGAGCTTTGGCTGTACTTCTCCTTTAATCCCCAGTAATTTTTTTCTTCACTGATGGGCACTGATAGACTACACTGATGGGCACTGATGAGGCAGTACTGTATGATCTTTTGAAAACGCAGCCCGCCGGGAACCCCGTTAGGACTAATGGCACTCGCCCACGGGTCCGCATTTCTCTGTGCAGGTGGTGCGGCTGCGCGGGCACCACCCACACAGATGTGAACCTAGGGTAAAACTGGAGAGTGCAAAATCTGGTGCAGCTGTGCATGGTAGCCAATCAGCTTCTAACTTCAGTTTGTTCAATTAAGCTTTGACAAAAAACCTGGAAGCTGACTGTTTTGGTTTCTATGCGGAGCTGCACCAGACTTTGCACTGTTCTGTTTTAGTAAATTATGATTATGACAAGTGCTTAGGGAATGTTTGCATAGAAACCAACCAGCTTCCAGGTTAATTATTTTGTCAAAGCTTAATTGAACAAACTGAAGTTAGAAGCTGATTAGAAGCTAGAAGTTTGCACTCTCCAGTTTTAGTAAATCAACCCCAGAGTCTACAAACTATGGTGTATATATTTAAAAAATGATCAGTCCTGATGTACTGACAAGCCTAAAATTCCAGGACATATAAATAAACCATGCATGTACCATATTTTCCGGCGTATAAGGCGACTGGGTGTATAAGACGACCCCCTAATTTTCCAGTTAAAACATAGGTTTTGGGCTATACTTGCCGTATAAGACTACCCCCCTTCCCAGGCAACACCATTTAACCCCTAGCCTACAGGGCACTTATACCCACTTTCCCCCCAGGCCAATTTCCAGCTTTCAGTGCTGTCACACTTTGAATGACAATTGCGCGGTCATGCAACACTGTACCCATATGAAATAGGTGGCACTGATGGGCACTGATGAGGAGGCACTGGTAGGTGGCACTGATGGGCATTGACAGGCATCACTGATGGGCACTGAAAGGCAGCACTGATACATGGCACTGATACATGGCACTGATAGACGGCACTGACTGGCACTGTTAGGTGGCATTGACTGGCACTGATAGGCGGCACTAATGCGCACGGATAGGCGGCACTGACTGGCACTGATAGGTGGCACTGATTGGCAGCACTGATGGGCATTGACAGGCATCACTGATGGGCACTGAAAGGCAGCACTGATAGGCGGCACTGACTGGCACTAATAGGTGGCACTGATTGGCAGCACTGATAGGTGGCACTGACTGGCACTGATGGGTGACACTGAAAGGCAGCTCAGATGAGCACTGATATGTGGCATTGATGTGCACTGGTAGGCACTGATATGTAGCATTGATGTGGCACTGATGGACACTGGCAGCTGGCACTGCTGGGGCTACACTGATCATCAGGGCACACTGATCATCAGTGCCCTGATGATCAGTGTACATGTCCCCTCCGCGGAAAGCCGATTACCGGCTCTCCTCTCATCTCGAGCTGTCCGCGTGACAGCTCAAGAGGAGAGAAATGCAGATAACAGGCATTTCCCTGTTTACATGTGATCAGCTGTGATTGGACACAGCTGATCACATGACCGAGCCGACATCTTTGGCTCTTTCCATGATCGGTGATAGCTGTGTCCGAGGGACACAGCGCATTGCCGCGCAAGCGCGGAAAATGGGAGGACGTCATATGAGCCAATCACGGCAAGTGATGTATTCTATTAATGAATACAGAGCCTGCTCGGACTGGCTGTGTCAGAGAGGCGGGCTGACAATGTCACAACTTCAGGCAATCCGAGCAGGCTCTGTATTCATTAATAGAATACATCACTTGCCGTGATTGGCTCAGTGCGGTATACTGTATGTAGCTGAAGCTACCATACAGTATTACCGCACATCCAGCATTCTATACCCAGCGTATAAGACAACCCCCAATTGTCTTATACGCCGGAAAATACGGTATTTATACATAGTGGTCATATCCCCTCTTAAATGCCTCTTCTCAGGAGAGAATAATTTCAGTTTCTGTAATCTTATGTCATAGCTGAGCTCCTCCATGCCTCTTATCAGTTTGGTTGCCCTTCTCTGAACTTTTTTCATTTCCCCAATGCCCTTTTTGTGAACTGGGGCCCAAAACTGAACTGCATATTCCAGATGAGGTCTACTAATGATTTGTACAGGGGCAGAATTATGTCTCTCCTTATACCTATTTTAATAATAAGAAAGAATTTTTCTAGCTTTAGAAACTGCATAATATATTCAACTGTAGATCAACAAAAACTAAAGAGTACATGTGTGAAGAATTACAAGTCTAATATTACTAACACAGAAGACAGTAGTTGAATTCACATAGAAATCTTATCATTACACCAGTCATTGTCCATCTGTGAACCCAGGGGCGGACTGACAACTGACAACTGGAAGGTCTGGGGTCTGACGCCGCGATCTTGACAGGCAGAGTAGCTTTTGTCACTCTGCTTCCTGCTCACATACCTGGGTTCCTATGGCAACTCACTCTACAGCAAGGGCAGAGGAACGGTTAAAAAACAAACTGCTCCAACTTGCTCACTTCACTGGCGGTTGCCATCTTCAAACGGTTGTAGTTTTAAAATTATAAATCCTACACCGAAGAGCTTTATATTGTGAGAATCACAAGACCCAGACCTACATTGTGATGCATAGTATGTCTCTGAAATATTAAAAATGAAGGCACAGTCGCAGTTTAGATATTGCCCTTCAAATTTCAGGTGTCTAGAGTGGAGTGGAGTGGAGTCAATGAATGTCAATGGGCGGCGTGAGTTGCAAACAAATGGTCATATTGGAAAACTATCAGGACTATGGCTTAGCCGTGGACATTTTTTGTGGCAGCAGGGATAGCTGAACATTTTGATATAAGATTTGTGTAGGTGGGCTTGAAAATGACAAGTGATGGCAGTTTAGAGATCATGTCCTGATTTTTCATCTCACACTCTAGCTTTTGTCAGCTCCCACTCTAGTTTTGAACATTGCGCCATTCATTCCTATGGGACCAATTTCACTACAAAAACAGCGATATTTTGTGAACCATTCCGCGAAACGTTCCACAAAGTAATAGCACACCAATCGAGAACAATCCGCACGTTTCGGTATATTACTGTCTATGTAGTGTAAAAACTGCGGGAGGAGTTAGGGTGGTAAATTTGGCTATAATAATAAGAATATATATGTGAGATAACAGTAAGTGGTCTTGCCATGCAAGAACACTTAATAATATTTTCAGCATGTATTAGCTACATCTTTATCTTGGGAGAATGAATAGTATGAAAAATGTGTAACAGCTGCAAACATACAAAGGTTACTAAAACAGATTTGTTAGCTTTGTATCCAAACAACTATAATTGAAATAGTTTTACACATGGACTGTTTTATCTGTTTAAAGATTTACAGTTCTGCTCAGCTACTGTTTCAGTTTAGGAACCCCTGTCACACTGCATAGCCAAAGTATGTTATTTTACACTGCCTGCTGAATGGACAATATACAGTATACAGTATGCTAGCAGTCCCACTACCCAGAAATAAAATGTAATATTATGTGAAACAAGCAAAATAAAGGTCCTGTTTTTAGGTGGATGAGTATGGGATTGTTTCAGCATTCCTATATCAGTAAGTATAGTGTTACTTTACTGTCTTTCCACTGATCCCTGCATCAGGAAGGGAAGTATCCTTCAGAGCTCATTTACACTTCAACGTCAACACACTTTAACCACTTAACGAATGCCCACACGCAATGTACTGCGGATGGATGGCTGCTGTAGGCAAAGTGATGTACGTTGCTGCCTACTTTCAGGTATCAGGTGCACACATATACACCTCCCAGCCAGAATCCACTGTGATTGTACACATTGAGAGCTTGTCAGCAAGTCCTGGCCAATGATTCATGGCCTGAACCTGCTGATCAGCTGTGTACTATCACTACCAAAGAGCTCTGTGTTTGCATTCAACACAGAGATCTGTACACAAGGAACATTCTCTGTATTTCTCATCCCTGCAAGGCAGGGATGAGAAACATACAGATCTATTAGTAGAAGCAGCACACTTTGCATGCATTATACATAGTTAGGCACACATTTAACCCCTTGATCACCCTAGATGTTAACCCCTTCCCAGCTAGTGTTATTAATGCAGTGACAATGTATAGCATTATCACTGATCACTGTATTAATGTCACTGGTGATGTCAGTGGCAGTTAGTTCCCCCTCAGCATCAGTTAGTGTCAGATTGCCCGCTGCACTACCGCAGTCCCGGTGTCTCTGAGCAGATCCCCCACTCAGCAGATCCCCAGCTCATTAGTACCCCTGTCAAGTAGATCCTCAGCTTATTGGTTCCCTCGTTCAGCAGATCCCCAGCTTGTTGGTGCCCTCATTTGGCAGAACCCCTGCTCTGTGGTACCCGCAGCTCTGCTGATGCCCCACTTAGTAGTAACCCCCAGCTCTGCTGATCCCCCACTCAGTAGTAACCCCCAGCTTAACTCATTCTCTGGTTTGCTGATCCTCCTCTCTCTCCAGTACTCATCCACCTCCCACTATATTGCTCCCACACTGCAAACCACATGCAAGATTGCTAGTTTTTCCTACCCCATTCCCCCTGCCCTACTGATCCTTTGTTAGTCAGTCCTTTCTCCTGTCCTTGCTCACCTTCCGCTATAGCATTCCCATGTTGCACACTCTGTGTGCCGTCTGCTAGTTGATCCTCTCGAGTCAGGATCCCACTCACCTTCCTGCTGCTCCACACTGCACACCAGATGTGACGTCTGCACCAGACACTTCCAGAATATACACATGAACTGGAAGTGACTGCTGATGACATCTTTCTGGTTCACGTGTTGGTTTCCAAGTGCATCCTGGGATAGCTCATACCTGCAATATCTACAAAATAAAGTGAAGATGAATAAATGCCTCTCAGAAGCTGCAGGTGCTGTAAGCGAGCTTTGTCATAGACTTCTATGGAGGCTTCAGAGATGCTTGAAAGCACCAAGAAAGCAACATTATTAATATTATTATTATTATTATACAGGATTTATATAGCGCCAACAGTTTGCTCAGCGCTTTACAATATAACGTGAGATAATACAGAAATAATACAGTTCAATACAAGAGGGATAGGAGGGCCCTGCTCCTTGGAGCTTACAATCTAGGAGCAACATAGAGTATCATTTTTGAAGCGAAGCCAAAGAAATGTGTAAATAGGAATGCAAGTTTACCATTTTATTTTGTAACAGGTGCTTTGACTGGCATTCAGAGAGCATTAAAAAAGCGTGTCCAATGCCACATTTTGAAGCAAGTGTAAATTAACCCTTAGAATCAGCTGCTAAATGTCAGGTACTGTGGTTACAAGTTGTCTTCAGATTAAAGTGAGCAGCTGCAGATGTGCAACCCTACCTTCGATTTGGATTGAATATAATTGATAAATCACAGCCATATGCTACTGTCCTGTAAGCAAGCCCCAGAGTTAGACTAACAGTGCTGTACAATGCAGTTGAGCCGTAAATGGATTATGTTGCTTATTAACCCTTCCTCCATCAGTTTGTTTAGACTTTGTATCTGGTTTATTAAGTATAAAAATTGCTGCTAATAATGATAATGTGAAATTGAACTCCAGAAATATATTTTGTTACAGTGTAACGGCTTTTCAACAATGCCCTCACAAAAAATTAGGTACTTAGTATATTTTATTATTCCATTTTCCAGGATAACCCACGAACAAGGTCAGTTAGTCATTGCTATATGGCCTACTGTGTGAAATTCTCAAGATACACTGTGGGACATTAGGATTCTCCCATAATCTTGCTTGTTAACTGGGTTAATATGGCTGTAACAGTTTTATATATGCACCAAAGGGAAGCCATTTTCTTCCAGCTTTATTATTAGCAATCTGTTCAGCTACAAAATGGCAAATAATTATAATAAAAAGAGCATAGTAATAACACAGAAATCCCCAAACAGAATAGCCACAAAGACCTTCATAAAAATATTTCATTACATTTTTGACTTGCTGAATATCAATTACTATGAAATCGTAAAACACTTAAACTGCTGCATTGTACCATTAAGTTAGGATCATAGAAGTTTTTTATTAATCGTTAAGTATTGTATACTAATTCTTACACATAGGGTACCTGCCCAAGGTCAGTTAGTCCAGGGAAGCCCAATGGTGCAAAAAAAAAAAAAAATATATATATATATCCAGGGATAGTATTATTACCAGCCAGTGCAACCAGTCCCTATACATGATCTGCCTTCTATCCGTGTCATGTATCCAGGCTACAAGGGTAATATCCTATTCACTTCAGTTCTCTAAAACTTGAGAATGACTGAAATCAGAGGTTCCCATACAGAAGGACGACTAGGTTCTAGCAGCAGCATTGCCATGTATGTACAGTATGTATGCTTCCAAAGAATTTGCATATGATGTGTTATAAATACAATGTGCAAATTACTTAGAATGAGACCAGAAATCTTTTTTCTCCCACTTCTCAAAATATGTTTGGTGTTTGGTAAGTCCAATGAGGTTTTGTTGTGGTCATAGCTATTGTCTAAGTGAAACGTCAGCATTCAAAGCTAGAATGAAAACAAATATCCTAGAAGCAGCACGGTGCCTTTACTAAGCAAAGTGTTCAGGAAAGTGGTCCAGTTTCCTGTGGTTTCCATTTAGTGCCAGAAAACAGCACATTTCTTTTAGGCA